AGGATCACTAGGCTATGCTGTTTTATTAGGGACCCCCTAACTAAATATCTTTCTATCTCTTCTCATGAAGTAGTCAGCTTTCTAGAGAAGAATCCGGTACCCTGCCATTAGGATATAGGCCTACAACTCAACTATCTGAGTTTGGAAGTTTGAAAAATCAAAACAATTAAAAGAAGTAGCCAAGACATTTAATTCTTAAAACAACTAAAATAATTAGGCTAGAATTCCTTCACTTAACCGAGTCCCAATAGATAATTTGCATCCCTTCATGAGCCATGGGGCAGAGAGAACAGATGAGGACATTTAATTTTATTTTCCCACTCTTATGAATAAACACCACACCCCTCTAACTGATCATCCTGAAGCAGAGCAGGAAGAAACACAGAAGAAAAATAGGAACCAAATTCTCCTTGTTCCACTTGCCTAAGAACCTATCCATGATAAAATTAAATAAGTTATTTTCCAGTAACCTGCTGTGAAAACAAACATACTATTGAAAAATTCATAAGATTTTATTGAAAAATTTCATAAGATATAAGCAGGTGTGTGTGTGTGTGTGTGTGTGCGCGCGTGTGTATAGCTTTGCCCTTTGAAATAAATATTCATTGTAATCTACTTGTTTCATCCTGCCTCCAAAATTCACTATAGTAAATGAAACCTGGTAACACATTCCCAATGAAAGCCTGGAGGAAGAAGTACATACTTCAGAGGATTTCTGGCAGTTAGCCAAGACTTCTAGCTATAGACTGTTTTTAGTAGTCCTGGGTATTCTGTTCTTAAACCGTGAATGGCACTGCTTTCAGGTGCTGTGGATGACTGATGAGCAGTAATCATCAAGGATCCCAGGAGGCAGAGAAGCTGCCACTCTTCTTTCTGTTAACTAGAAATCACATCTAGCATTATGTTTCTCCTTTTTTTTTTTTTAAGAAACCAAACCAGTTTGAAAAAAAATTTGTCACCTGGCCAACCGAGAACAAGTTCATGTTTCTGTAATCCTATATTATATATATGGATGCCTGCTTCTTATAGATGACATACATAACCATGAAGTGACTGGTTTTTTGTTTTTTTCTATTCCTGAGAGCCTCTCCTGGTTCTGAAGAGGAAAGCGAGACTGGCCAGTTGGGGACTTTGCTCAAGGATAGCTGATTGAATGAGTTTACCAAAAATTATGAGTGCCATCTAAATCAAAGAATCGTGGAAGATCAAGCAAGATATGGAAGCATAAGGGTCATTAGGCCCAAAAGTCATTTGACAGATTCTTAAGGATTTACCTTAGGTCAGTCATTGAGACAGGGCCTTACTAGTGAACAGGGCAGAATCTCTGCCTGGAATCAACACTCTAGTAGACGTTTAGGCAAATAGGCAAGTATAAAATGTGCTATGATAAAAGTGATCCAGAGGATGCTATAGAAGCATATATTCAGAGGGACAGTTAGCCTGATGTTGGTAGTTCAGGGAAAGCTTCTCTAAAGATAGGATGATAAGGCTTCTTTACTAGTTAGGACATAAAAAGATGCAAGAAAACTCACATCACTTGTAATAATGACCAGATAAAATAAAATGATAATCATAATTTTCCATGGGGCTGTTGGAAAGCAGTGGATGGAGTAAGACCTTAATGAACTAAATTCTGTAGAGATGTCTGGGTCCAGGGGGACATGAATGAGTAGAGAGGTGTGGCATTACCATAGAGAGAAGGGTCTGGTCTAAGTATAAGTAGGTGGAGGAGCAAGCCTGTGACACTCTGGGAAACTTTGGAGATTCGAGAAGAAACCAGCTGAGATTTTTTGCCAGCGGTATAAGCTGGGAGGACAGGCTTGGATCTAGAAAGACCTCAATTATGAAAACAAATCTCTTAGGACTACAGCCAACCCCCCAAATTTGCTAAGAAAGCAGCAGTAGAGAGAAAGTAAAGTCTTGCACATTCTCATGGTGCTTGGATTTTTGGGCCTTGCTGAAGTTGAAAACAAAGGTGAATCAAAATGTTTGGAAAACAGACTATTCCCCTCTAACTCAAACATTGACAAGATCAAAAAATTCAAGCCTTTGCAGAAGACCAGGAATTGGGCTAATTGCAGGTGAACTCAATCTAATTAAAACTATATCCTAGCCCCCGTTCAACTCAATTTGTAAAGGAGTTCCTCACTTAATTTCTATTGTTCCTTTTTTCCACCACAACATCCAGAATAAAAATTAAAATTATGTAACGTCCCAAAATGTAGGCAATACAATCCATAATCAATAAAAAGGCAATGGAAGCAGACATAATAGGTGAACCAGGTATTGGAATCATTATGTAAGGACTTGAAAGTGACAATTATAAATTTGTTTTAAAAAATATATAGAGGGAAAGATGGGATTCAGGGAATGTCAGGAGAGAAATAGAAACTCCTAAAAATGGACATTTTAGAACTGAAAAATCTAAAAAATTAATTGGATGAGTAGTGTCACAACAAACTTAACACTAGAAAACAAGGCATCAGTAAGTTTGAAGATAGATTGATAAGAATTATCTACTCAGAAGCACAGGGAGAAAAAAATGAGCAGAACACCGATGAACTGGACAGTATCAAGTGATCTAACATACATGTATTTTGGAGTCCCAGAAAAAAAGAAATATGACAGGAAAAAAACTTTGTTTTGAAAACGTAATGGCCAAAAAATCTTTCAAAATTTAATTTAAAACATCAAACCACAGATGTGAGCTCAGCAAACTTCAAGAAGGTTAAATACAAAGAAAATCACATCCAAGTACACAGTATTCAAACTGTTGAAAACAAGGATAAAGGAGATGAGAATAAGTAGGAGTTAGGCAGGCAAGGGTGGTCAGGGAACAAGGGAGATTGTATTCTAGGCAAAGGAGACAACATATTTAATGCCCAGAGAAATTCCTGGTTTTAAGAATTTAGAGAAATTTCGGGGGGTTAAGTGGAGATAATAGTGAAAAGTGAAGTTAGAGAGGTAAGCAAGAGCCATACAGAGGGCCTTCTAAGCACATTAAGGGAAATGAGAAGCAAAATTATATCCTGGATAATATAATCAGATTTGTCTTTATAAACAGTCACTATATGGCTACATTGTGTTTTGTTTGGAGCAACACAGATGGAGGCAGGAAGAGGCTATTACAGTAACCCAGTCATCAAAGAATGTTTAGAACTTGAGATGTGGCAGTGTAGATGGAGAGTTACAAATAGACTCAAGGGCTATGTAGGAGCTGGAAGACATACAGCCTCATGGATGTTTAAGTGCAAAGGAGAATGGAGTAAAAGGTGGCTGTTACAGCTGTCTAACTTTTCCGGGTTTGCCACCCTCATGTCACTCTTATTACTTCGTGCCAAATAGAATGATTGTCTTCAAATACAATTTTGATCATGCTACTTCCCTGCTTAAAGCTCTTCAGTGGCTCCTATTATGTTTCTGCTTGAAATCTTTCCATGACTTCCCACCTTACCCAGAAAGCTAGAGTCCTTACAATGGCTTACAAAGCTCTCCATGATCTGCCCCCGACATAACTCCCCACCTTGCTCACTCTGCTTCAGCTATACTGGTTTCCAATGTGAGATCTGGCCTAGATATAGAAATGTGGGAAACTCCAGAGGTTAGGAAAATGAGAAGGGACCAACAAAAGAAAAATCAGTGGCCAGAGAGCTAAAAGGAAAGTCATGGAAGAGTCAATCATGTCACTCTCCTGCCCAGAATTTCTAATGGCTCCCATCACCTACAGAAAAAACTTTCTAACCTTTCAGTTTAGAATAAGGGGGGAGAGGGACAGAGAGTTAAAATGCAGATTTCTAGACTCACCCCCAGAGGTCCTTGTTTATCTAAAGTTAATTGCTGGAATGTGTACTTTAAGAAGTACTGCCCATTCTCAAAAAATGGATGATGGTAGTCCATGGATCACATATTAGAGAAACATGGACTATAGTATCAAATCTCACACACAAGGCCCCTAATGAGTTGTTCTATGTCTCCTGACTCCTTTCCTACCATTCTCCATTTCTAGGATTTTCTCCTTCAACATTACAAAGCAGCTTTCCATTTCCCCTACATACCATACACCCATGCCTCTCTCTGTACAAAGGTTCACCTCAAATTGTCTGCCTGGATAACTCCATTCAAGTACCTGCTATAAAACTACCTTCTCTGGTTTTCTCAGAGGATTTAAGAGCACCCTTTATCTATGGTATGTTTGCTTGTTTGGGAGTATGCAAGAATACAACATTCTCAGTATTGTTAGCACATCTATGTAGATATGGCACTTCTAGACTCTGTATATCTGCCCTAGACTATAAACTTCATGAAGGCAGAGACTATTCTCCAATCTTTCCAGTACTGAGCATCTTGGTTGGTACATGGAAGGGGATCAATTTTTGGCTTAGTGGCTGTTCCTAGGTCCTATAGGTGCTAAGCTGAACAGTTAAAATCTGAGCCTAGATCTTCAAATTCCTGATGCAAAGTTCTGTCCAGGTGTCTGTTGTACCTTCTTGATGATCTAAGTGTATGTCACTTGCATCGGTCTTTGTCTCACTGGTAGCATTTGACATTTTATTTCATGTTTAAAGTCCTTAGGAAACAAGTTTTGTGTTCTGCTTCAGGGCATAAATCTCTCTAGTCCAGCAGGCTAAAACTGACAACCTCTGTGTTTCCCACAGGACCTAGGAGAGTATCCGGAACTTAGCAGAATTTTAAAAATGTATATTTTTTAATTAACGAATGATTTAGCAATTTATGTAACAGGGCTAAGCAAGGACAACCTCATCCGTACTCACTGTTTTATTATTTTTTTAACTTGCTTTTAAAGATTTTACTGCTAAACCCACAGCCTTGCCCCACCCCGCGCCTTTGCGTCTGACGTCACAGTCCCGACTTGAACTACCAATCCCAGAATGCCGCGCAAAGAGGCGGGTTCTACGGGAGCAGCCGCGTGATTGGCAAGCGGAGGCGTTTCCTTCCGGTGGGAAGGGCCCTGGAGGCGGGGACTAGGGGGAGGTATTTGAACATTATTACCGGGTTGGGCGGGACCCGTCTGGGAGGGGTTTGTGGGTGAGCCCTGGGTCCCCCGCCCGCTGAGGAGATGGATGAGGACGGGCTTCCTCTCATGGGGTCGGGCATAGACCTGACCAAGGTTTGTAAACGACCGAGTTGAACTTAGGCGACCTGGGAGGAGGATGGGGGAAGGAACCCTCGGTTCCCAGGGACACCCCATCTCTCCATATCCAACCGCGTCACTGGCCCCGGGCCTCTCCGGTCCTGCTCTCGGGAGGGAAGAGTCCCACAGTTCACCTTAAAAAGGGGTCCCTCCTGATCCGTTTAAAGGGGTGGTGTACCTTTCCTGCTCTTTGCTTCCCAAATTAGGAGTCGCTCTACGCTCGGGTTACACAGGTTACGCGCGGCGACAGAAGCAAGTTGCGACCTCTAACCCTACCTCTTTTATATGGTCCCCAAGTTTTTTGTGTGTTTATGTGTGTTGCCTTTTTATGTTAAAATTCACAAATATTTGTGAATCCAAAGCGCATACTCAAACTTTGCGGCTTCTGTCATCAGACACCCCACCCCACAGTTTAGGAAAACAGGTTAGTGACTATACGTAGTACTTAGAGTAACTCATGTAATACAGCAAAATGCCCCGTTATGATTATATATAATTGACGTCAAAGGGTTTGCATGGTGTACTTCTTCCTGTACAAATCATGTTTGTTTTTACATAACACAGGTGCCAGCTATTCAACAGAAAAGAACGGTGGCATTTCTAAACCAATTTGTGGTGCACACTGTACAGTTCCTCAACCGCTTTTCTACAGTTTGTGAGGAGGTAGGTCTGATGATACTGGTTTAATGAGGAGCCTAGAAATCATCTTGTACTTTTGAAGGTGGCAGATGAGTAAAACAAGAGTCAGTCTAGGTGCTCATGGACCATGACCTCTTGTCATCCAGTTATTGTGTTGACATACCATAAATCCTCTTTGATTATGTGTCATCAATCACCTTTATGTGCCTAAAGAGAACAAAAGGAATTCCAGGATTTCACAATTGAAAACATTTTTTTATTTTGAAATTTGTTTCTCTTACCCCAAAGATTTACATTTTTCCCCCAAGATATATATCTTTACATGCACATTGTTTTCAGTTCATATTAAAATTATTTTACACCCCTTGATCCAAAAGATGGTTGGGGAAGTAGCCTCAAAATATAACTTCAGTATCAAATATCATTATGAAAATAATAAAAATACTTTTAGCAAATGACTTGTGAAATGAGAATTGAGTACTTATTTAAGATTCAAGGACCCCTGTTTCTTCTTAAAAAGCCAATAAAGAGAATGGGGAAGTAAATGGGAACCCTGGGTTGAAATCAGGTTTAAGAAAGGAGAAAGAGGAGTAAAATGAGATCATTCACAGGTGAGTCAATAAAAATAACATTAATTCATTCTGTCTTATTTATAAGATATAGCTTTAGCAAGTATTTTTTGTTAGATGTGTTGTTATTAACAAAAATTGCTTGGAGACAGGAAAACTATTTTCATTTGTATCACATCTTATTTTTGTCTAGTTAACAATCTCTAGTTAAAATCTCTTCTGCCTTCTCGCTAAAAGAAAACAAAGTGAAATATGATAATCGATACAGTAAGAGACTCAGTTCATTATATATAGTTTTAATTTTTTTTTTATTTTTATTTATTTTTTTAATGTTTTATTTATTTCTAGGAGAGATAGAGAGACATGTGAGCAGGGGAGGGCCAGAGAGAGGGTGTCACAGACTGAAACAGGCTCCAGGCTCTGAGCTGGCAGTCAGCACAGAGCCCGACGCGGGGCTCGAACCCACAAACCGCGAGATCATGACCTAAGCGAAAGTCGGACGCTTAACCGACTAAGCCACCCAGGTGCCCCTATAGTTTTAATTTTTTAATGTTTTATTTATTTTTGAGAGAGAGAAAGCATGAGCAGGGGAGGGTCAGAGAGAGAGGGAGACAGAGAACCCAAAGATAGGCTCCAGGCTCTGAGCTGTCAGCACAGAGCCCGACCCGGGGCTCAAACCTAGGAACCGTGAGATCATGACTTGAGCTGAAGTCAGACGCTTAACCAACTGAGCCACCCATGTGCCCCTAGTTTTAATTTTTTACATGTTTATTTTTGAGATGGTGCATGAGCAGGGGAGGGGCAGAAAGAGGGGGAGACACAGAATCTCAAACACGCTCTAGGCTCAGAGCTGTCAGCACAGAATCCAATGCGATGCGGGGCTCAACCCCACAAACCAGGAGAGCCACCCAGGTATCTAACAGGCCCAGAGGCTAGGTGCTTTCTTCCAGGAGTTTTATCACCTACTGCTGCTTCTCTAAATGGGATATAGAATGGACTGACTAAGGATTTGGTCCTTCACTTTTTATACCAGGGTAGGGTGGAGAGAGACAATTCAAGGATTGTAAGCAGAAAGGAGCAAATACCCCATCCACATACTCCTCATCACCAGGTAAAACAACAACAACAACAACAACAACCAGCAAACACAGATGTGAAGGCAACTTGGTAAAGCTGCCCTGAGGCAGGGATAGCCTTTGCAGTGCTTAACACTTTTCACTGCCTAGGAAATGAGTGCTATTTGGTAAAGACTAAAGCCAATATAACAATAATCCCCTCTTTATTGATTGCTTATGCATTATCAGAGCCTCCTGATTCACTCTTTAACCCCCTTCTGTACCTCTCTCAACTGTCCCTCAACTGTTTTGAATATTTCACTATTCCTTTGTTCTTCCTTGAACCCTCGAAGAAAAAAGTTTCTTGACCAAAAACTCATGAAGTTTAGAGGTAGTTTATTGCCTTTTTCTCTTTAATGGGTGGTGGTCTAGGGTTGACTATAATGACTATAACCCATTATTTACAATTCATACTTTAGTAGTCTGGATATTTATGTCAGTTATAGACTGTTTGCTTGGTGTGATGACAATAACATTTATTTTTGTGTACTTGCTCTGTGTAGGTATTATACTATGTGCTCTACATGCATTTATTCATTACAGCCCAGCCCTGTGAGACAGGTCCAATTATCTCTTTTTTAGAAATATAGAAATTAAGGGGCGCCTGGGTGGCTCAGTGGGTTAAGCGTCCGACTTGACCTCAGGTCATCATCTCGCAGTTTGTGAGTTTGAGCCTGGCACCTGGCTCTGTGCTGACAGTGTGGAGCCTGGAACCTGCTTTAGATTCTGTGTCTCCTCTCTCTCTGCCCCTCCCCCACTTGCACTCAGTCGGTTTCTCTCAAAAATAAACATTTTTTAAAAATTAAAAAAAAAGAAATACATGGTGCAGCTTGTCGATGGTCTTGGGGACCGGCTGCTCCTGCAGGAGACGGTTAGTAGCTGTGGGGCAGAGGAGTGGGATGTTGGTGGAGAGGCTGGAACTGGGTGTGCGTTCCCTGCCTCCCCCCTGCTCCATCCCAACATCTGGAAGAGTTAAATCCAAGGAGGGGATCAAATTGATGGCATCATAGCCCTCACACATGTCTCCCCTCTGCTCTGGGAGAACACGGTCAGCATCCCTTCTTGGGCAAGGTGTGGTTTCTGTTATTAATTAATAAGCTTACATGTTTTTTTTTCTCACTTTGTTTCATTAATGAAATTCTGTTAGCTCATTGCATGTCACCAGTGAAAGAGAAATTCTATAATAAAAAAGTCTCTTTAAGAAAAAAAAAAAAAAAAAAAGAAATACAGAAATTAAGATGTAGAGAGATTTAAATCATTTGCTTACTCATTTATTCATTTATTAGACATATATTTGTTTACATATTATTTATAGCTGCAGTTGCTACTCTAACTTACCCACATTCAAACAGCTAGAAAGGAACAAAGTTGAGGTTCCAACTCTGATCTAATAACTGTAAAAACCAAAAGCATTTCACTCGTCTGTTACGTTGCCCCTTCTGATCTGGATAAGAGGCATGTTTACATCATTTCCAAGTGAGAGGTTGTAATGAGCTATTTCAAAATTTATTTTTTAGATTTGTATTCTCTTCTTTGCTATGCCATATCCATTTGATGTTATATCTTTTTCGATATGATATGATAAATTCCAAGGGCATAATATATGTATTCAAACATCAGGTGCCACTTTTTCCCCTCGAGTTAAGATCAATGTAATTTTTCAAAATGGGCTGTCATTTGTTAATAGCACCTATTAGACCTGTATTCTTGTTTAGTTAAAGCCTTAAGCAGGAGCCAAAATGACTGTTTTCCTCAGCAAAAAAGGAATAAATAAACAAATAGACTTTTTAAAAAAAGAAAGAGAAAAGTGAAAAACTTAACTTTTAAAAAACTTTCTGGACACCAGAGTACTTTATAACTCTTCTAATGACTGAAACCAGGATAAGTAGAAAGGTTGAAAGCCAGAGAAAGGAAGGTAGTTGAATCAGACCCAAGCTACAAAGTTCTTCCTTCACAAATCCCCAGTAAGCATTTCTATTCTGGGCCTCACTCAGAAAAAATCTTATGGTGGCCCATCGGGTGTGCGAATTTAAAACAGAATGGGGTAGAAAGTACAATGCAAGTTCTATGCATATTATAGATAAAACTGAGCAGAAATTTAACCTTATAATGAATTTTAAAGTCAAAGGTACTCTGTAAACAGGGCCATCATATGTGTTATTTTGACTCAGACTTGTAATATGCCTAAAATACTGAGTTCTTAATCATTTTTAAATATTCCAAACTTTTTTCTAAATTCTTTAAGAATAAGAAAAAAAATGCTGAGAATTCTCATATAACCTAAGAAATTTTAGTGTGCTTATCTTCTGCATCTAATTTTTAATCCCACCATCAGACTTAATCTTCAACCAAATAATCTTGCTATATTTACTGCTACAACTTTTACAACTGCTGGGTTTAAGTGCCAAATGAAGCTTAATAAAACCACTGATTGCTTCCCTTTCTGGCTTATAGGACATAACCAACCCAGTGTAATATACCAAGGGAGCCATGATTTTAAAATATTGTTTCTCTTGTTGAGAATTGGGTATGCAAACTGGATATTTTACAAACCTGAAAAGCCACAGTATTTTATTTTTGTTTCCATTTTCAACTATTAACTCCATATTTATTCCTTTCATCCTTTTTTTTGGTCACTTTAATGAATTTCACCACCTTAGAAAGAGGTAGGTGATAAATCAAGAAATTTTCAGCTTGTCTGACAAACTTCAGGTACCTTGCAAATTACCCTATGGTCCCAAAGCAAGACGTTTCACGTTTGCTTTAAATCCTTATAAAGATAGGAGTGCCTGGGTAGCTCAGGCTCAGGTCATGGTCTCACGGTTCATGGGTTTGAGTCCCCCATTGGGCTTTGTGCTTTGGGCCCTGTTCTGACAGCTCAGAGCCTGCTGCAGATTCTGTGTCTCTAGCTCTCTCCGCCCCTCCCCTACTCACGCTCTGTCTCTTCCTTCTCTCTCAAAAATAAACATTAAAAAATTTTTTTAAAAACTCCAGATAAATAACATCTATTTTCGAAAATAGGTCAGAGTAATTTGATTTCTTTTTTTTTTAAGCACTGTAGCATCTTAGTGTTTATAAGAAATGGATTGATTACCTATTAGCTTTGAATAACAAAATTTCTATGTATGCAATGCCTGGGAATTTTTCATCTTGATGTGTATTTTCCTAATTAATGTATATATACACAAATATATATGTGTGTGAATATATATATACACATGTACATACGTGTGTGTGTATATACATATATATTTTTTTTTTTGACAAGTTTTAAGTTCACAGCAATACTGAGCAGAAAGCATTGAGTTCCCATGTGCTCCTTGCTTCCCTGAGTTCAGCAAGCATAACTTCCCCCATTATCAACTTTCCTGGTCATTGTTGTTACACTGTACATTGACACATCGTCACCCAGAGTCTATGGCATCATGTTCTCACAATGTATAATTCTTTCAAACAATGTAAAAATTATTTCTGTCTTTGAAAGATAGTTACTAATTTTGTATCTGGATTTGGAGTTTTTAAGTTCAGATGGTTTTACTCGTATGAAAACTCAGTTTTCTGTTCTTTAAAATTGTCATGATAATAGTTCCTACTTTATGCATTTGGTGTGAGGTTTCAAATGATACATTGCATTTACAGTGTAGCATAGTAAGGTGGATGCTCACACATTTACAATGCTGGTGATTATTGCTTAAAAGTACATTTATATAGAGGCGCCTGGGTCGCTCAGTCAGTTATGCATCAAACTTCGGCTCAGGTCATGATCCTGCCCCACATTGGACTCTGTGCTGACAGCCTAGAGCCTGAAGCTTGCTTCAGGTTTTGTGTCTCCCTCTCTCTCTACCCCTCCCCTATTCACACTCTGTTTCTGTCTCTCTCTCAGAAATAAATAAAAATTTTGAAAAGTATATTATATAAATATACCTAAACAATTAATTCATCTTTTTCTTTTTATGTTTTCACTTTAATCACACCAATGCATGTATTTATAAATAAGCTAGAAATTATTTCACTTTACAAATTAATTTGTTATAGGATTTCTGCAGTTACTAAGCTTTTCTGTAAAATACTGACGAAATATGGAAAAACATAATTTTCATGATTTCCAGGAAAACTCTTATAATTTGGAGAGGAATTCATTCATCTGATGTTTCATAAACCTGTGTTTATATTTATTGTAAAGCATTATATGAACAAATGCTAGAAGTCAAAGTTAAAAGAAATCAAAGCTTTGAGTGCCATTAAAACTAGATTCTAGTGTTAGAAATAAAACATTATAAAATAAAAAAATATATAAAATAAAAAATTGTAGCTTTGTAGATACCAGGATGTTCATCTTAAAAATGTCTTGTGAAAAAGTTCTACATTGTGACTGCTTTCAAGGTTTTTCTCCCCTAAATGTGGACAAAATGACCATTGCTTGGAGTGTTAACATTCTGCTTGAGAGCTAGTCAGGATCTTGATCATAACCCAGAAAGCAGTCAGAATGCTGCATATCTGCCAACTGTCAATGGGCCAACTGCCTTGGGCTTGACACTGAATATAATAATGTTTAAGATTAGGGAGTTTTAAATAAATGCTCTAATGGATCATATTTTATGGTGTTACTTTTACTTGTGTGGCTATATATAGTGTATATACACACATGGGTAATTTAATTGTACAGAATAACTAGAGCATGGGAAGCTTTTGGTTCTGTTTTATCTTGGATGTTGATGGTAGGTTGATTCCTTTTGCTTTTTAGTACTGTTAATTTTTTCTCTTGGTTTTACTTCTTTCTAACATGAACTGCTCATCTGTTAATTTCATCTTCTTTTTATTTTCAGACTTAAAAATTTTTATTTTGGGACTAATTATATATATTTAAGTGTTTAAGTAACTTTTAAAGGCAAATCTTGTTCCAAGCTGTCTTGGGCTAATTTTTATTCTTTTCTGTGAAGAATTCCTTCATTCATCAACAAATAATTATTAGAGTCCTATTAAGTATCAAGTACTGTTCTGGGCATGAGGGATATAGCAGTGAACAAAAAACTCTGTCCCAGAAGAAGTTTACCTTCTGATTCCAATGACTGATTATAGATAGCTCTGATGAGTTTGATAAGGCTGAAAATACAATTTTTGCTTATCTGTGAATACAATTTTATAAAGTAGCTGTGAAGCATGCTAATGGAAGTTACAAAAATTCGTACTTGAGCTCCCATTCCTACTCCTATAAATAAAAGTGTAATACATTGGAAAATGACTAATATTTAAACCATAGTGGGTTCTTGTTGTTTTTCAAATCTGCCCTTTGTTACCCTTGTTAACAGCTCATTTCAGTCAGACTTTGTCCTTCTGATCTTTTTCCAGAAACTGGCAGATCTTTCTCTTCGTATCCAGCAAATTGAAACAACTCTCAATATTTTAGATGCAAAGGTTTGTATTTCTGAATAATTTATAGTATAAGCTTTGCATATACCAACTTTCTCAGTCATACTTAACTTTAATTGAATTGGAAATTAAATTTAGCTCCTGCATCCATGAGGTGGTACAGTGTTTTGTGTTTGTTTTTAATTCATTATAATTGCAAAGGAAATGATACTCATTATGAACTATTAACTGAGTCTGTTTAAATGTACACAGGAATTGAAATTTCTTTCATTATTCTAGTCAAAAGCATGTGAATAACATGTTAACAAATTGGGCTATTTCTATAGTTCATTTGATGGAAAATTCACAGTTATCTTAATAGTAATCATTTGGGGGGCACCTGGGTTGCTCAGTCCATTAAGCGTCCGACTTCGACTGAGGTCATGATCTCACAGTTTGTGGGTTCGAGCCCCACATCGGGCTCTGTGCTGACAGCTAGCTCAGAGCCTGGAGCCTGCTTCAGATTCTGTGTTTCCCTCTTCCTCTGACCCTCCCCTGCTCATGCTGTCTCTCTGTCTCTCAGAAATAAATAAAAACATTTAAAAAAAATTTTTTTTAAATAGTAATCATTTGGTAACACAGTACAAATTAATAAAAGTTCAGATGTCTCCAGAGCAAAATTTGGAGAAAATATCTATTTTCTGTTTTCAAATATCAAATATATTGAATGCTAATGAAGAATACCAGTTTTGAGGTCAGAAGTTACACAATATAACTAGCAAAAATAGAAAACTGTTTTGATTTGAAAGCTTTCAGGTTTTGTGTTTTCCCTGATTATAAAGTAATGGAGACCCTAGTATATTTTTGTCTTTTATAAAAAAAAAAATTGATCTGAAAAAAATGCTTATTGAATATTTATGAGGAAGTAAAATGGCTAATGTCATTAGCATAAAGATTAGAATGTCTAATTTGTACTTTCTACGTCTTGTGGACTTCAGCCGCTATGTTTCTCTCAGCACGTTTCTGTAGCTTGGAAAATTTAGGATACCTGGCCTTGACCATGTTTAAGATACTCTCCTAGCAGCCATACCTATTTGTAACTATTTGGGCCATAGCCACTATGCTAAGTATTGTCATCAGTCAGCAGTTCTCAATGAATATTGCTGCTTCAGACCTGTTTCTTTTCATTATTCTTCATTATGAGTATGTGTCTTATTTTAATGTTTGGGCAATTCTGGAGTTAAAGTCCATAGTCACAAGTTAAGTTACTGTGTAGCTAACTTTAATCATTTCCAGAACCTTAATTATTTCCATAACCATAAAATTAATCCCTAAAGTCAGCCAAACATCTGACAAACATCTATCACTGATAATCAGAACGAAATCAGAAAAGTGGGTTTGCATGGATCTTGCAGATCCAACCTGAAATATATAACCACTGACAACATGCCTATCTTTTGTGTATTAAAAATAACACATTTTAGTAATATTTGGTGATAAATGCTTAAAGAAAGAAAAAGAGAATGGGCTGTCAAACATTAAAATGTGATGACAAGAGTTTTGTCATTTCCCAGATCATTCACATTTAAAATGTGCTACAAAGGACTTTCTTTCTTTCTTTCTTTTTTTTTTTTTTTTTTTTACAAATCATGTTTAATAAAAATCTCTTTACAATAACTTTGTGAGTTAAGTTTTCTTATCCCCACTTTTCAGGGGAGAAAATTGAGGTCTAGGGAGATTTACAGAATGTCACATAGCTTGTGACTTAAACCTACACAATCTGACTCCAAAGCCCTTGCTTTTTATTCCCTGAACTAAGAATCCTTATATTTTAAAAGATAATTCCCAGGAAAAGAATGGTTATAAGCTAAGTCAGATTAATGGAAAATCATTCAGGAATATTTTACTTGTGAATGACTTTCACTTTTAAATAGTTTATGGCATGGAGAATTTCAGACACCAAAGATGAGATTTTATAAACCGTATTTCTTTTTTTTAATGTTTTTTAAAAATGTATTTATTTTTGAGAGAGAGAGAGAGCACGAGCAGGGGAGGGGCAGAGAGAGAGACTGAGACACAGAATCTGAAACAGTCTCCAGGCTTTGAGCTGTCAGCACAGAGCCTGACATGAGGCTCGAACTCACAAACCGTAATATCATGACCTGAGCCAAAGTCAGACGTTCAACCAACTGAGCCACCCAGGTGCCCCTATACACCCTATTTCTATAGGCTTAAGAACTTAAAATAGCTATTTAAAACACACACACCTAGAAACTTACAGTGTTTAAGAGCTAATCTTATCCTCATAATACCAACATTAATTTTCTTTTCTTAGTTGTCATCTATCCCAGGCCTAGATGATGTCACATTTGAAGTTTCTCCTGTAAACACCACTGGTATCACAAATGAATCACATTCTGAAACCACTTCAGAGAAATCACAGGTGAGCATTTTAAGTTCCAGGAAACATGACCAGCTTGTCTTGGTTAAACCAGATAAACATAGCAGCAGGTTTGAAGGAAGAAGCTAAATGAAGATGTAAAACTTTAAATAGTAAGATTTTAAACCCTTAAGATAGAAAATGAAATTTGAAAAGAAATGAGCTGTTTTATTATTATTTTGAGGATCTCTCTGAAGTTAATATTTTCCTTGCCTATGAAAGAGAAACTATTTACAGGACCAGAAGAAATCTTGAGCGTAATAATGTTCTTCAGGTTCTTTATGGACATTTTCCCTTCATTATTATCAGAAGTATACTTTTAAAATGTTTTACTATAAAAACTTTCAAACACACAATAATAAAATAGTACAGTGAATACTTAAATGCCCATTACCCACACTGATTCTCTAATAAAGATTTTGTTACATTTGCTTCATCTATCTTTTTTGTCCCTTGCTAAAACAATGAATCCTGGGCATCATACCATTTCACCACTGTGTAACTCCTTGAGCATCTCTGAAAAGTTCTGGCATTTTCCTGTATAACCACAATGCCTTTATCATACACGATATAATTAACAGTAATTCCCAAGTACCATCTTGTTACTCCAAGTATGCTCCAGGCACCAGCAGCATGGGCATTACCTGGGGAGCTTGTCAGCAACACAGACTCTCAGGCTCCATGCCAGACCTACTGAATCAGAATCTATATTATAAGAAGATACCCAGGGGATTTGTAGTCTCTTAAAATTTGAGAGTACTGGTTTAGAAATACCACACATCTAAAAAGTGTGGGTTTGGATTGATTTGCTCAAATCAGCATCCTAGGAAGGGCCACACTTTGCATTTGGTTCTTATGTCTTAAAGTGTTCATTTATGCTCTGTATACATTTCAATTTTATATTACTTTTTATTCCAAGAAATAAAAATTCTCATTGTTGAACAGACGATCTCTAGTGTATCTCAGTGGGGTATTAAAATGCAAAATAAAATAATCACTAAAATGGTGATCTGTCTAGTGATATTGAACATTTGTACGTTGAGATACTTTTCATAGGATATTTTTTAGGTTATGGTTACTTTGGCTGTGATGATAATGACTACCATGTGGAGGGTGCTTACTGCGTACCTACCAAGCATGCTTCTGAGTGCTTTTCAGAAATTAACTCATTTAATTCTCACAATAGCCCTGTGAAGTAAATACTTCACTTCACACTTCTACTTTACAGACGGGTGAAATGAGGTACATAGAGGTTAAGTAACTTGCCACGGGTCAGAAAATAAGAGTAAGAGCTGGAATTTCAATGCACGCAATCTGGTGCCAAGAGTCCTAGCTCTTATCTGCTAGACTACACTGTCTCCAGCACCTGTGTTGAATTCATTAAATAATATATTGAACACATATGGTACAAAGCTGTGGGAGGAGCCATAAATTTAGTTATAGCCTATATTTGGGGAATGAATTAGATGACCATTTACTTAACAATTAGATATTAGAAAATTAACTTCCATTTAATTTATATAGTAAATTTCATTATGATGGCCATTGGAATATATATAATACACAAGAAGAAATCCAGATGTGTTAGAAGAGTTTAACTTTACAAGGCCCTTTCAGTTAAATATGGACCATGCATTTTCTAAAATAAGGCATGTATAAAAAATATTAAGAAAATGTTTTCACTCTACCTAGTAGTTATTCTTTGGTGAATACCAGCTATCATATGTTTCTATAAATTTTTTAAATGGTATCTGTCTAATTTTGAATATTTTTCTGGGTGTTATTATGAATGCTACCTATAATATATACTTTAAAACTTTTGCAGTTGTGTTGATCCTGCCTATTTAAGGTCTCAAGAAATTGATTACAAGTAATCACAGTTAAATTTTCTAAAATTCAGAATGATTTGATACATTTTGACAATTTTATTTAAAAACTAATATATTAATTCATTTGGAGAATTTATGAAGTTCTTTTGGCTTCCTGAGTTTAAAAAATTGGAGCAAAGTTGCATGTTGATTAGTTTGATAAAATACCTATTCAGCATGTTCTTAATATTTAAATCAACTTCATATTTCTTTACTGTTATTGTTATGATTTATGTAAAATGTTTTGAAATGGACTTAACTACTGCTTAACACATAATTTCCACTGACATTGCAGTCAACTTATCTGATAAAGGGTAACGATACACTTTGTTAACCATTCATTCATTTCAGTCTCTAATCTATATGAGTCAAAGACTCAAGGTTTGCATACCGATTTTTTTGCAACTTTAATTTCATGGTTCAGATCTTATCATTACTCAAAATAGACCATCCAATTGTGCAGATTGAGAATAAAATGAAGGGCAGTTGAGAGATATGATAGAGGATTTAACGGGTCATTCAGATAGCAAAGGTGTAAGAGCTGACATAATTAAACCTTGTTGAGATCTTGGTTATTAGGCAAAGTTAACAGCTGAGTTTTGAAATTCATTGGTCCCATGTGTAATTATTATTTGTTCCATCGTGCTATTCTATGAGTTTATTGTCCGTAATGTTTCTAAAAACATACTTGGGTCATGTTTGAATTTTTTATTTAATTAAGGGTTTTGGGCTTTCTGTATTTATGTATTTTAAAGATGAATTGTATATATATATGGATATATATATCCTCACTTAGTGCCATATAACAGGAGAAATCTAAGGGACTTGCGATGTTTTATTTGCTTCAGAATTTTCAAAAGGTTTAATTTATATCTGAATTATCTGAGGAAAAAACTTAATATATAATTAACATTCATATTCTAAAAGCTATGAACATTTAAAGATAATCTTGATTTATCTACATTTCAGCATAGATATGTAGGCATACAATTGATTTCATTCTGTTAAGGAACTACCTTGTAATGCTAATACATAGATAATAAGTGAGAATTCACAAAAATAAATGTAACAAATGTTCAAGTTGATAGAAGAATCTAGAACTGTATACAGACAGTCCTACCTTTGCACTTTAGTGAGGACAGGATTCCAAAATGGACAATTTTCATTTAACACAGTCCCATACAAAGTGATAACTGCCTATATGATAAAAGCATTTTTATCTAAAAAGATCATTCCCCCATATTCTTCATTATAAGCAGTATTAACATTAATAGTTCCATCCGTGGCTGAAATATATAAAACCAGATAATTTACCTGAGAAATGGGCTACTCTTCCATAAATTCTCTAGGCATTGTTTTCCAGGATGTTAGAATAGCAGTAAGAGTAATCTTACTCATTCTGTTAAGGAACTACCTTAGAGTACGATTACTGAATAAATGAGGAATTCAATTCTATAGATGGTAGATACCTACAAAATCAATTTACTATATGCTAGAGTTGAATAATTGGCAAATCAAATAGTTTTATTAGCTGTATTAAAGGTTTTATTAAAATAACCTGTCCATCTGTAGTTCATATCCACACTCTGGGAACAACTAAAGTAGAATTCTAATATTTTTTAATGCCATGAATATGTTTGCATTTTTTAAGGAACAATATAATGATGACATTAAGTGAACTTCCTCTGAAATCATAAGTATTCATAAATATTTGGAAACATATATCCCATCATTAAATTATTGGTATTTAAATTTAGAGTTATGATTTTTTTTCTGATATTGATTGCTTTAGATTTATAAGAAGAAACATCCCTTTTTAAGTAACATAATGGACCCCTTTTGTGAATTGTCTAAAGATTTACACGCAATACTCTCTACAGCAGAACAGTTTACAAGACTCTGGACCACAGGAAAGTGAAGTAACACCAGAAAATATCTTAACTGTAGCCAAGGACCCAAGATATGCCAGATATCTCAAAATGGTTCAAGTGGTAAGCTAATTTGGTCTGTCTTCTCTGTCTAGCAGCCTCATTTGAAATTCTTAACCCTAGAGGTTTCATTGTTAACTTTTTCTGAGAAAACTGCTAAACCGAGTGACCAAGTTTTCTACTCTTCTTTCCTATGTTTACTTAATGCACTGATAAGGAGTAAACAGAGGTCAAATCTTTCTAGTTAAAATTGATCTCATACTTCAAATTAACATACTTGAATACAGATTTATGTAAATTTTTTGCATTACATAATGTTATCATAGCAAATCTTAGATGTATCCAAGGGATACAATGATGAAAGTGGACTATTTCTTAAATCATATGGCTTTAGCTTAATTCTTATATGCTAACACAGTTTATTTTTATTCTGAATTTCATTTGTCAGTGGCTTGGTCATAGAAAAGAGCCTAAATCTCTCGGCGATTTAAGGTAGAGCTTTTAATATTATATGACCTCAGAATTCATGTTTTTTTCTGAGAAATTATTACGTGGTATGATACCAAAAAATATCTACAGTTGTCTCTAGCAGCAGAAGTTGATTTCTTTTCATTTTTGTAGAAAGTCCTATTGCAGTGGTTGAAAGAACTAGCTCTTCATCATTTTTCTATTAAAAAAATGTTTTTCTAAAATTCTATCAAGCAAAAGAGGTCATAATATTAAAGTTTTGTTTTGATGACCATGACATTATTTATCATCTAAATAATTTAAAAACAAATACTGTCTGACGCCAGAAAGAGTAGATTGGTTCATTTAGGAGTAACAGAAGTGATACTGAGGAGAAGAAAGTACATTTGCTTTTCCTGGCTGTCAGAAGGAGTAGATATATCACTTTCAAAATTCTTCATTGACTGCCAAAAACCCTGGATCCTAGGCTTTCGAAAAAAAGTAAACCAGACTTTGAGATGCAAATATATAAAGTTCTTTAATCAGAATAAAATAGGGCTAGTTTTGAGTGTGAATTATGATTTATGCATTTTTAAAAATTTTTTAATATTTATTTTTGAGAGAGAAAGAGAGACACAGTGTGAGCAGAGAAGGAGTAATGAACTAGCAGAGAGGAGACAAAGAATCCCAGGCAGGAACCACTCTCCACACTATTGGCACAGAGCCCCACACGGCTTGAATCCACAAAGTGTGAAATCATGACCTGAGCTGAAATCAGATGCTTAACTGACTGAACCATCCAGGCACCCTGATAAATAAATTTATAAAGCCAGAACCCAGTAAAACTCTGCTAAGCTTAAAGTATGGACTGTGAAAAACTGGGTTTTCCTCTTTCAAACAGAAGAGGAAACGTTTCAAGGTGACTCTGGAAGGCTCTCTTTTAGTCTTTTCTTGCCTAACATAAACTGTGAAATAGAAACAACCATTTGATGATACCTGTAAGAATGCCTTGAAATCTTTGATAAAAACCTACATTTTAGGATAATTTTTACATTCTTGATAACTGCTTCTGATTTTATAAGAAGTTCAAAAACTCAATTTTCCTTTTTAATATAAATTTGCTGTCCATTTATTCCACAGATATTTATTAAATATTTACTTTAATGTACTATATTAGGAACTGTCTACATTTATTTAGCCAGCTAAGGTTCTCAGACCTCACTTGACATTTTTATTTTTATTTTTAATTACTTAGACAAATCTCATTGCTTTTCAGAAGCATATATATCACTTGTGTGTAAATGACTACTTTTTCTAAGTTTATTTTGAGAAAGAGTGTGCATGCATGTGCATGCGCATGGGCACACATGTGCATGTCAGGGAGGGGCAGAGAGGGAGAGAAAGAATTCCTGCTTAATTCCCAAGCAGGCTCTGCAATGAAGAGCCCAATATGAGTCTCAAACTCACAAACCATGATCATGACCTAGTCAAAACCAAGAGTCAGACACTTAACCACTTAACAGACTGAGCCACCCAGACACTCCTGTAAATAACTCTTTAAATATTCATTTTTCTAATCCTATGGCTTACCATCTCAACTAGGAATAAAAGCCAAAATCCGTCACAAACCTAGGAGATCCTATATGATCTAGCTCCCCTATTATTCTTTTGATCTCGTATTTCCCTCACACTACTCCAGCTTTACTGGCCAGCTTGATGCTCCTTGAATAAATAATATAGACAGTCTCCTGTCTTAGGCCTTTTACATTAGCTATTCTGCTGGAATCTTTTCTGGAAGCTTTTTTTTCTGGAAGCTTTTCTGCAGGTATCTTAATAGTCCACTACTCTGCTTTTTTCAGATTTTTACTCAAATATTACCTTCTCTCTGGTCCCATTCCTTTTACCCCTCCCCTGCTTATTTTCTTCATATAACTGGCCAGTAAGATGTAAAATACTACATATTTCACATACTACATATTTCACTAAAATATAAACTCCAAGAAGGTAGAGAATTTTTTGCGTATTACACTACTTTCAGTTCCTAGAACAATACCTATGAATGAAAATGCCTCTATGTTGTTTTACCTTTTGATAAGGTTTGGTGATAGATTTCTTTTTTACCCCAGCTCAGTAGTTTTTAGACATGAAACATTGTCAAAACATGTTACTGATTCCTATCATATAAATAAGAATCTCTAAACTTGGAACTTGGAGCTAGAACATATATATTTTGAAAATAGCTCCTGCGATTAAGAGCCTTTTAAAAATATTTTACTCTATATATAACATCATTAAAATATTTATTTTAAGAAATAATATATTGTAAGTTTTTGTTTTTGTTTTCCACTATCTAATTCTGTAGCGTTGCTTGACACTTAGCTTCAATCTATCTTTTTACTTGGTGTCACTGAGTATGAGTAGGGGCCCAATTTCTTCTGCCTCAGACTTTTCCTGTTTTTAGCCCAATTTTCCTGATTTCAGTCCTTTGCCTCTCTTCTGCTTTGGTATGGGTGTTTCTAATTCCTAAACATTTCCAAAGTTCTGGAAGTGCTACTTTGTGGTATCCCCTCTTCGGGCACATGGACTTGGCCTTCCTTTGTTGTGCTAAGTCATCAATCATTCTTTTATCTGCTTTTAATTTCCATGCCTTATGGTTCATATATGTCTCTTAGTCATTAAAATTAGTGTTTGTGTTTTATTTCTCTTTGCCTAATTGTTTGGGGGTAGTTCTCAAGAAGAGGGGAGCAACATCTTTGCCCTGCCATCCTAAAACTGCAAGTTCATCCAAGTGAAATTTAATTTTATTGTTTTCAGTTTATTGTGCCAACCTGAATCCCAGAATCTTATTATCCAACTTTTGTTTCCTTCGCCCTATCCTGCATTTCATTCTTAAGACAAAACCACAAACCCTTCTCAATATTAACTCCATGCTTTTCCACCTTTGAATCTAGACTCCCCTTCTCTTGATTACTACATGTTCAAATTCTAGTTACCTAATATGTTTCTTCTGAACCCTCCAACACATGAAGCTAGAGGTAATATCTCCCCTCAGTGATTTGTCCAACCACTTAATTTTTTTATGGAATTTATCACTCTATATCTTGTTCTTTTGATAATTTGTACATATTTTTATTGTCCCTGTTGAAAAGGAACCGTGAGAGAAACTACTGTACCTTAACTCATCTTTGTATTCACTTTAACACTTTACCCATGAAGGCACTCAATATTTATTGTATGTACTGTTTTATCCTGCATACTAACTCTCCTTCCCCACTTTGCATTATCTGGAAACATATAGATACATTCCTGTTTCTTTAAGTTACTGATTTTAAATGTTTTATAGGACCAGATCAAGAATACACCTAGAGGTTTCCCTCAAGGTTGCATGAATCTACAAATCATTATTATGCTCATTAAGCCATATATAAATCTACCATCTTTCTTGTTTCCTAAGAATATCATGAGTGACTGTCAAAATATCCAACCACAAATGTAGTCACATGTTTGACAGTGCCCTTTCCTTGGCACAGTCACTGTCAGAGTTCCTGTCACTTCTGCATCATAACTCAGTTCTGGCTTTTTGCTTAAATTCACGTATGAAATAGCTAAATCAATTTCTTTCATTACATCCTTTATCTGTTGAAGGATGAAGTTTTGTTTTTGTTTTTAAATGCTTTTATTTATTTCTGAGAGAGAGACAGCGTGAGCAGGGGAGGGTCAGAGAGAGAGGGAGACACAGAATCTGAAGCAGGCTCCAGGCTCTGAGCTGGCTGTCAGCACAGAGCCCGATGCGGGGCTCAAACCCACAAACCATGAGATCGTGACCTGAGCCGAAGTTGGATGCTCAACTGACTGAGCCACCCAGGCGCCCCTGGAGGATGAAATTTTGAGCAAGGTGACAGGAACTTATCAGATGCTCTGATTTGAGAAAGATTAAGCTGCCAGTACATGTGGATAGCTAATGTCCCCCATCAAGGCTGTATCTTATGCTTGTGCTTGCTCACAACATGTTTTATGAAGGCCTGATCTAAATCCTCCCATCAGGTCAGGTGATCAAACTCCTTCTGATAATACAACCATTGCCTTCTCTTAGCCTCATTTGGCTGGTGTGTGTGTGTGTGTGTGTGTGTGTGTGTGTGTGTGTTGGGGGAGGGAGGTCCTTTATCCCATGTTTAAGAATCCTTATGTGTGTATATATAATGATTTATAGGTATCTTTCACCTTCCATTATAAAACATTCTAATATATTCCTTTCAAATGCCAGCTCCCATTCATGAATTCCTTTCTATTAAGTGTTAACAATCTCCGAGATTTACTTATTTTGATATTGCAGGTTTGTTCTCTATAAATACACACTTTTTGAGGAGGGAGGGTGCTATTGGATTTGTTTTCTATTTGTTTATATTTCTCCTCTTTAATAATTACCTGCTAGTTCTTCCACTCCTCCTGTCGTATTATTGTTATTACCCATAGTCTTTCAATTTTAAGTGAAGATTATTTTTATACTTTGATTTTAGTTTAAAGCCCCTTGATCATACCTTTGTGGGTCTTGTTAAGCATAATCTTTTGGTTCTTCTGAATGCTTATACTTTCCCAGGAGTATAATCATTTTAGTG